GGACAGAATCCGGCGCCCCAACCGGGACTAGAACCCGGTGTGCCGGTGCCGCTAGGCGGAGGATTAGCCTAGTGAGCCGCGGTGCCGGCCCCCAGTATTATGTTTTAAGAACTGCAAATACTTGTCTGTGATAAAATTCTGCATTTGTCTTTAGTGTCAATAATAAGGCAAGGATATAGTATACATTCTTTATTTGGGGTGGTAGGTTGTTTGAAAATCTAGAAGAAAGGAAGATAAAGTTAAGTAGAAGCTATATAATAAAGAATTGCTAAATGTTACGTTGTAGGCTACTTTGTTACATCTTCCATATCTTCCTAGGGACTAGACTAGTGCTGGTTTCACACTGGTTTTGTGTTGATTTTTTCTCGCCTAATTTTCATTTGTTTATTTGAGAGGCGGAAAGGTAGAGAAGAGAGCACAGCAAGAGTAAGTAAGCAAGCACACCTTATCTGTTGGTTCACTTCTCAGATGTCTGCAGGGCCCTGCCTGGGCCAGGCTGAGTCCAGTAGCTAGGAGCTCAGTCCTGATCTCCTATGTGGGTGGCAGGAACCCAGTCACTTGAGCTGTCAACTGTGCAATCCAGAGTGTGCTGTAGTAGGAAACTGGAGTCAGGAGCCAGAGGTGAGCATGGCATTCCAATATCCTAGGCCAAACATCTGCCTCATGTCCATTTCCTTTTTTTTTTTTTTCTTAGAGGAGAGGAGAGGCAGAGAAAGAGAGAAGTCTTCCATCTGCTGGTTGGGAAGTAGAACAGCCAGGTCTTGAACTGGCACCCATATGGGATGCTGGCGCTTCAGGCCAGGGCTTTAACCTGCTGTGCCACAGCGCCTGCCCTCCCACCCCCTTTCCTAACCAAGTGTTTCTGCTCTGCTAGTAGAGTCTGGGAAAGTTAGGGATTACTGCACTATTCCTTATGGTTCCCTTATAGCCCATGTACACCTTTGTAAATGGTCCAGTTACAAATAAACTTTCCTTAAATTGGAGTAATTGGTTTCCCATTAGGACCTTGACTGGTACACAGTGGTTACAGTCTTACAACTTACCTGGTCCAATTTGTTCAAAACGAGGATGCATTCGTTATTTGATCAAAATGTTTGTTTCTGAGGCCAGGGCTGTGTTGTAGAAGGTAAGCCTCCGCCTGCAGCACCAGCAACGTCTATAGCTGCTGGTTTGAGTCCCTGCTGCTCCACTTCTGATCCAGTTCCCTTCTAATGTGCCTGGGAGAGCAGTGGAAGATGGCCCATGCGGGAGACCCAGAAGAAGCTCCTGGCTCCTGGCTTAAGATCAACCTAGCTCTGGCTGTTGTGGCCATTTGGGGAGTGAACCAGCAGATAGAAGATCTCTTTCTGTCTCTGTCTCTCCCTCTCCCTCTCCCTCTTTAACTCTGTCTTTGAAATAAATTAGTAAATCTTAAAAAAAAAAAAAAACGCCAAAATGTTTATTTCTTGGCTATCGTGTATATACCTCTTCTCTCACAGAATGAAATCCTTCATACCTTTCTTCAAATCTTATCTATATCTTTGGTCTTTCTTAATTGTATGAATTCCAAATAGAGCTTAAATTTCAATTTCATTTCCTTTTTTTTTATAGATTTTATTTATTTTTTTGAGAGGTAGAGTTACAGTGAGAGGCAGAGACAGAAAGGTCTTCCTTCTGTTGGTTCACTCCCCAGATGGCCGCAATGGCCAGAGCTGCGCCGATCTGAAGCCAGGAGCTTCTTCCAGGTCTCCTATGTGGGTGCAGAGGCCTAAGGATTTGGGCCATCTACTGCTTTCCCAGGCTATAGCAGAGAGCTGGATTGGAAGTGGAGCAGCCGGGTCTAGAACCGGCACCCATATGGGATACCAGTGCTTCAGGCCAAGTCATTAACCCGCTGTGTCACAGCACCGGCCCCATCAATTTCCTTTTCTTACAGTCAAAAACACTAACGCAGACATTTCTGGTACACTGAGCTAATTACTGTGGAATACTACTGTTTCTAAGCTGATTAGGCCTTTTTTTTCATTATATTTTATTTTATTTAATGAACATAAATTTCCAAAGTACAGCTTATGGATTACAATAGCTTCCCCCCCACCCATAACTTCCCTCCCACCCACAGCACTCCCCTCTCCCACTCCCTCTCCCCTTCCATTCACATCAAGATTAATTTTCAATTATCTTTATATACAGAAGATCAATTTAGCATATATTAAGATTTCCACAGTTTATACCCACACAGAAACACAAAGTAAAATACTATTTGAGTACTAGTTATAGCATTAATTAAACACCTAAGAGTAATTGTGTATTAATTACAGAGTTCAACCAATAGTTTTAAGCAGAACATAAAAAATACTAAAAGGGTAAAGTATTAAGTTCTTTTTTTTCTTTTTTTTGTTATATAGTTTTTTTTTTATTTAATAAATGTGAATTTACAAAGTGCAGCTTGTGTATTGTTGTGGCCTCCCCCACCCCAAACCTCCCTCCCTCCCGTGGCCCTCCCCTCTCCCACTCCCTCTCCCATCCCGCCCTTCATCGAGTTTTATTTTCAATTACCTTCATATACTGAAGATCAACTTAGTATATACTAAGCAAGGATTTCAACAGGCTGCACTCACACAACCGCACAAGGTATACGGTATTGTTCGACTAGTAGTGTTGTTTTTAAGTTTCATAGTAAAACACATTAAGGACAAAGATCCTACGTGGGGAACATGTACCCAGTGACTTCCGTTGTTGATTTAACAATTGGCACTCTTATTTATGACGTCAGCAATCACCCAAGACTCTTGCCATGGTCTAGGCTATGGAAGCCCCTTGAGTTCGCTGACTCTGAACTTGTTTAGTCAAGGCCGTATCACAGTGGAGGTTCCTTCCTCCCTTCAGAGAAAGGCGCCTCTCTCCTTGATGGCCTGTTCCTTCTGCTGGGGTCTTGTTCACCAGGATCTTTCATTTAGATTTTTTTTTTTTTTTTTTTTTTTTTTTGCTACCATGTCATGGCTTTCCATGGCTGATTAGGCCTTTAAATGTCTTCAGAGCTGGTTAGGCCTAAATGCCTTCAGACCACCGCAAGGCAGTAAGACTTGCTGTGTGTTTCACCCCCCTAATGCTCAAACACTTTTCTTTGATCTTTTAACACTCTGGCTGCATGGAAGGAAGAAAGAGGAAGAACAGAACAGTACTCGTAAATAAGGATCTTTTAATCATGTCATCTCCTTTTTATTTGAGAATAAAGGTAGACATGAAGAAAGGAAGCAGGTCTAAATTTATTTTGAGGGCAGCATTTACTTGATTTAATCATAAGATTGGTTTATTCTCTACTAGTACTAGGGTTATGTTGGGGTCTTAAGCCTGAGGCTGGCCCCTGACCAGCAGGGGACAGTACAAGCACTCCCCAACAAGGCAAATGGGAGAGGTAAGGTCAACAGGTCAAGCACACCGTAGAAAGCACCAGTGAGTTCTGTCGAAGCAGGAACTCCTTTATTGAGGAAGTGTACAGCTTATAAAGCTTACGAAAGACATGCACAGTAGGGGAGCCAATCAGAGAAAAGGTCATGCAGGCATGGGTGGACCACGCACAGGGGCATATTGGGATCAGGCACTGTCTACGTGTCTGGAACTAAAGCAGATCTATCCCTGCAGGTGGTCTGATCTCGCCTAACTTAACTGCAGTGGCTGCAAACATGCCCCCCCCCCCCCCAACATCCGCCAGGCGCCATGTTGTTAGGGACTATTTTAGGCAATGCCCAATAGGGTTACATCTAAATTCCTTGGATGACATTCAAGGCTGTCTCTGTTTTCTAGGTTCTATTTTTTTTTTTTTTTTGCATTTCTTCTTACAGTTCCATAACATCAATGGATTATTTACTGTTAGCATCCAAAATTGACTTCCTTGCTCTCCTCATTTGCTTATATTGTATGCTTTACGTGGAAAGTGTACAATGTCAAATCCAGGCAAAGGAAAAAATTCTATTTATCAAAAGTTAATTCATCAGTTAACTTTGTGAAGCTGTCCTGTTCACATAATTAGTGTTCTATTATTATTATTATTTTTGACAGGCAGAGTAGACAGTGAGAGAGACAGAGAGAAAGGTCTTCCTTTGCTGTTGGTTTACCCTCCAATGGCCGCCGCGGCCGGTGCGCTGCTGCCGGCGCACCGCGCTGATCTGATGGCAGGAGCCAGGTACTTATCCTGGTCTCCCATGAGGTGCAGGGCCCAAGTACTTGGGCCATCCTCCACTGCACTCCCGGGCCACAGCAGAGAGCTGGCCTGGAAGAGGGGCAACCGGGACAGAATCCGGCGCCCCGACCTGGTGTGCCGGCACTGCAAGGCGGAGGATTAGCCTAGTGAGCCGCAGCGCCGGCCTAGTGTTCTATTATGAATCTGTTATCTCTGTTAGAAACTTTATCACGTTTTACATTTTGTGTGTGGATGTGTGTCCTATGTGCACAGGCACACTTGTTCATCTCCTGTAAACTGAACATTTCAAAGTGGAAGATATCATATTGTAATTACGGTTTTTAAAAATCCAGTCATTACTTTGTAAACTGTAGACTTAGAAAAGATATATTGAAAGATTTAATAATCAAATGGGTATGCAAGAAATGTTAATTTACTTGGTAAGAATTGCTGAAGATTTCTCTGGTGCCATGAAATGTGCTTTTTTCTTTGAATGGACTTTTGTGTTAAAGAATATATATCTAGTATTGATAGAATACACAGACTGTTTAAATTTTGAATAGACTGGTCATTTTTATATTCCTGTTGCTTTGCAGTATTTCATTTTTGGGGGTTTTAAAATGTTTTTCACCAAAAATGTAATTCATGTATAATAAATAAAGGAAATATGTTATTTTTAGGGAAGTTAATTCTGTTTATCCTCATAGCTTGATGAAATTTTAAAATACTTTGGCTTAATTCTTAGTCATAATTTGAATTTTTATTATAAAAGACACACTAATTATATGTAATTGGCATCAAATTTCATTAAGAGAATAATGATGTTCTTTTGTTTCAGCTAAACCATTTACTTCTAAAGTCAAACAAATGCGATTACATAGAGAAGACTTTGAAATATTAAAGGTGATTGGCCGAGGAGCTTTTGGAGAGGTAAGAGATAAAGATTTATAGAAGGTCTACTGTTTTGGAAGGTATTTTATACTGTTGTGAAATAATTCAACTGAAATATTATTTATTTGCTTTTGTGGTTGATAGGGTTGATCAGAAAATATGAGTATATTAGTTTTGAATGAAATATTTATGCATGCGATTTTTCTGTTTTCCATTTTCACATGTACTTCATATCTGGACCTTTTTTTTTTATTCCATTGGTTCAATTTGTCTTTCCTTATGTCAGTATGACATTATCTTTAATACTCTAGTTCATAAGAAGTTTTCATGTCTAGTAGTTTACATGCTCTGCCTTCCTCCTTCCTATACCCACTCCCCTTCTCTCTTCGCATTTTTTTTAAGGATTTGTTTATTTATTTGAAGGGAAGATAGAGAGAGAGAGAGAGAGAGAAGAGAGCACAGGCAAGGGCAAGATCTTCCAACTTCTGGTTCATGTCCCAAATGGCTGCAACTGCCTGAGCTGGGCCTATCTGAAGCAAGGATCCAGGAGCTTCTTTTGGGTCTCCCATGTGGGTACAGAGGCCCAAGCACTTGGGCTATGCTGTGCTGCTTTTCTAGGCACATTAGCAGGGAGCTGGATCAAAAGTGGAGTAGCTGGAACTTGAACTGGCACCCATATGGGTTGCCAGTGCTGTGGGTTTTACCTGTTGCACCATGCCATGTTGCCAACTCCCTCTCCCAATGTATTTTCATGTTGTTTTGTTAGAGGGCTAGAGGACGAGGGGGAGGGAATGGTGTGTGCCAGCAAGCTGGGGGGAGGGGTGAGAAAGAGAAAAAGAAAGAAAAAGTTACCATCACTGATCTTTTCCCAAAGGCCCCCAGCAGCTGGAGGTGGGCTGGGACCAAAGCCTGGGGCTGGGACATCAGTCCGTTGTCTCCCCTGTGACTTACAGGAACCCAACCAGTGAGCCAACACTGTTTACTTTCAGAGTCTACATTAGCAGGGAGCCTGCTGCAGGTGCTGCTTGTCAAACCCAGTACTCTAACATGAGATGCAGGAATTTTAATTGGTAGACTCCTCATATTTTGCCGTCAAATTAAAAATTTGACTGAAGAAACACACATGTACACAACACCTGTTGAAATTTGGATTAGGATTGCATTGAAACTGGAGATCAATTTGTATATAACTGACATCTCATTACTGAGATTGCTAATCCATGAATGTAGTATATGCTTCCATTTATTTAAGGCTTTATAAATTTTCAATAATGGTTTCTAGTTTTCATTCTGTATATAGGAATTCTGCATTTTTCAAAAGATTTATTCCTAGATTTTTGATGCTCTTGATGTTATTTTAATTAAAATTGTTAAGTTTAATTCTGTAATGGTTTTCTTTAGTTACCAATATACTTGAATTTTGTGTGACCTCATATCCAGAAACCTTGTTTTTATACTTTTAAAATCATGAAATGTGTTGAATTTTAATAAATGGTGTGTTTGCATTTTCTGAGACACTCATGGTTTTTATCCTTGTTTGTGTAAATGTGTTTAATTTTACTGCTTTCTGTCCAAATGCTATACTAAATTTACATCACTGAAATGATCCTACCTTGGTTGTATTGTATTGTCCCTTTTATTTTTCAGTGGGTTTGGTGTGTTGTTTTTTCATGTGTGTTTTTTTTAAATAGAGATTTTGCTCTTATTTTCTGGAGGAAAACTTTACTATTTCTTAAGTTCTGATCAGATTTTGGTGTCTTAGGCTGGTCTAATAAAAATAGTAAGTGTTCCCCCTTTTATTGTTCACTACAAGAGTTTGTGAAAATTATTTTTTCCTTATGTGCTTATAAAATTCCATTTGTAAATCCTTCTGTGCCTGGAGGTTACAAATGAGGGAATTTTAAATAATGTATTTAATTTTTTTATTGTAAGCAAAACTACTTGGATTTTCTGTTTTTGTGTATCAGTTTTGCTAGGTTTATCTGTGTCATCTAATTTTTCAGGCTTATTACTATATTTATCATTTGTATCTATCACTTTTTGATTCGCTAGGTGTTTATCAGTTTTATCTTTTCAGTCAATTCTTGATCTTTTGGATTTTGCTATTGTAGATTGTTTTCTGTTTCATTAATTTCTGTTCTTTAATATTTTCTTCCTTTTATCCTCTGAATTAATTTGCTGATCTTTTTCTGATTTATTGAAATAGAGTATTGATTTCTAGGTATTCTTTTCGCATCTGTATTTCAGGCTCTTGTTTTTCATTAAGCAGCTTTGCTACAACTGACAAATTTTGATACGTTGTATTTTCATTATTTTGCTTAAAATACTTTGTGGCTTCAAATGTGATTTTAAATTATTGTTATAATTTTTTAAATCTTTAGGAATTTATTTCTAAGTATTTAGAGGACTTTGTAGTTGTTCTTATTTGTACATTTTAATTTTTTGCAACAGAATAAATGTATCTTTTAATTACATTTCCCATGAATTTTTTGAGGTACCTTCATATTTCTGTTGTTGAGTTGTAATGTAATCTTCCTATGAGCAAATTGTGTACTAGGGCGATTACAGTCCTTTGAAATATGCAATGTAGTATTGTAAATATGAATGGTCAGATTCATTAATCTTGTTGTTTAAATCTTTCACATCATGGTGTTTTCTCTGCTTGATCTATTGTTTCCTGAGAGAGAATTTGTTTATTTTTCTATTTATTTCTATTTTAGCTAATATAAATATTGTTATATCTTTCTGCTGATGACTATTTTATCATTATGGAATGTTTCCTGTATTCTTAGTAATGCTTTTTGACTTAAATTTTCTTTAATCTGATGTTATTATAGCTACTTCCACTCTTTTTTTAGTATTTGTGTTAAATATCATTTCATTCTTTTAGTTTCAGCTTTCTGTAATGTTACAGTATTGTTACTGTTAAGTAGAATATAGTTGTTTTTATGTTCATTCTGATGATCTTTTATCTTTTAATTGGAGTATAATTAGTTTACATTAAATATAATTACAGTACTTATTACTGTTTGTTTTCTATTTGTCTTGCTCATTCTGTATTTTCTTCTGTTGCATGCTTTGTCTTGGATTCATGGAGTATTTTATTTTATTTTATTTTTTATTTATTTTTTTGACAGGCAGAGTGGATAGTGAGAGAGACAGAGAGAAAGGTTTTCCTTCTGCCGCTGGTTCACCCTCCAATGGCCGCCATGGCTGGCGCGCTGCGGCCGGTGCACCGCGCCGATCTGAAGGCAGGAGCCAGGTGCTTCTCCTGGTCTCCCATGGGGTGCAGGGCCCAAGTACTTGGGCCATCCTCCACTGCACTCCCTGGCCACAGCAGAGAGCTAGCCTGGAAGAGGGGCAACCGGGACAGAATCCGGAGCCCCGACCGGGACTAGAACCCGGTGTGCCGGTGCCGCAAGGCGGAGGATTAGCCTAGTGAGCCGTGGCGCCGGCCTTTATGGAGTATTTTAAATAAGACTCTCTTGGTAACACCTAAAGATGCCACTTTCATCCTTAGTAAATTGGTATTTTACCAGTTCCCATTAGCCCAATTTCTACCTTAGTTTTTTGTCATTGCTCACATGTATTTTGGTTCTGCTCATACTTGAACCCACAAAATCTATGATTTTGCTGCCCACTATTAACTTAGATTTATCCACATGCTGAAATTTTCTCTTGTTCTTTGTATTAGTCTGCTTTTCCTTAACTAAAATGCCAGAGAAACTTCTTGGGAAAGGGAAGGTTTATTTTATTGTACACTCTGGAGGTCACAATTCAGGATTGGGTGGCACCATAATGTGTTGTCCGTGGAGGCTGGTCATGGTGGGTGTGGAGGAACAATCACGTGGTGAGCCAGGAAGCAGAGAACAGCTCTGCTGACCTTGAACTCAAAAGAACCAGTCCTCTTGGAAGAAGCACCTTCTGAGGGAACTTCCCTGATGACCTCAAGGTCTACCATAGTCTCCTTTCAGGCACCATAATTAAATCAAGCCTGTACCCTTAATCCTTTTTTTTTTTTTTTTTTTTTATTTTTTTTGACAGGCAGAGTTAGGCAGTGAGAGAGAGAGACAGAGAAAAAGGTCTTCCTTCCGTTGGTTCACCTCCCAAATGGCTGCTACTGCCGGTGCGCTGCGGCTGGTGTGCTGCGCCAATCCGAAGCCAGGAGCCAGGTGCTTCCTCCTGGTCTCCCACATGGGAGTGTAGGTGCAGGGCCCAAGCACTTGGACCATCCTCCACTGCCTTCCCGGGCCACAGCAGAGAGAGTTGAACTGGAAGAAGAGCAATGGGACAGAATCCGTTGCCCCAACCACGACTAGAACCCAGGGTGCCGGTGCCGCAGTCAGAGGATTAGCCTAGTGAGCCACGGTGCTGGCCAGTACCCTTAATCTATCAGCGATTAACATTAATACTTTGGAGTTTAAACACCTTCATGAGGTTTGGGAAGGCAGTTCCTACTCAACCCATAATGTTATAATTCCCTTTGAGATAATTTTTCTTCTGACTTAAAAATTACTTTTAGTATTTCCTTATTACAAGTCTGCTGATGATAAATTATTTACTTTTATTTTTTAATAAATATATTTTTTGATCTTAAATCTTTTTTTAAAAAAGATTTTATTTATTTATTTGACAGGTAGAGTTACAGACAGAGAGAGAGAGAGAAAGGGAAAAGTCCTCCCTCCGTTGGTTTACTCCCCAAATGGCCGCAACGGCTGGGGCTGTGCTGATCCGAAGCCAGGAGCCTCTTCCAAGTGTCCCATGTAGGTGCAGGGGCCCAAGCACCTGTGCCATCTTCCACTGCCCTTCTAGGCCATAGCAGAGAGCTGGATGGGAAGAGGAGCAACCGGGACTAGAACCGGCACCCACATGCAATGCCACCGCCACAGGTGAAAGATTAACCTAGTGCGCCACGGCGCTGGCCCCAAGATCTTTTAAAAATTGAGGTATGCATACAAAGGGCCTCAAAAAGTTCATGACATATGCATATTATGGAAAAGCTATGCATTAGTTTCAAAACATTTTTCACCAAAATAATC